TGTCTTAAACGTGCTTCTGAGGCTTGCTCATGTTGGCAAGTATGAAACTGGTATTTTTGACAGGATTAAGGAATTGTATCCAGAAGAACATTTTCCACTTGGGCTGCATATTCTGGGCTAGGAGTCAGTGTGCTGGTGTTGAAAACACTGTGTTTTATATTAATTATTATTACCCTTATTAATACAAGCAGTACCATTAATGCATTAAGAGATGGATGAGGTGTTCTTAGCATTTGGTGCAGCAGATAGATGTATGTATTGTGGATTGTCGATTCTTGTTTTGAGCTTATTTAGCAATCTTTATCTGCAAGTGAGAAAGGACGTTTTGCTCTCCTCTTCCCTCAAAAGTGTAATCAGCAAAGTATTTTCTGTTGTGCATACAACAATATTACTCCTGCCTTCTCTCCATGGGCAGTACCTGGTCTGGTGTACTCCAGGTTAGTACATTTACTTCACAGTTGTCTTGCTGCTTGTAGATGTGCTGTGGTGCAGCACACCCCACACATCCCCTTCTCGGTTCTGATCCTGTTCAGTCCTGTGACAGGGATGTAACTCGGCAGACTTTGTTTGTTTGGTGAGTTCTGGGATGCAGAGGGGGAAGGAAAAAACTCAAAGTTACTTATGGAGAACTTTGTCTGTAGACACTGGAAAATCAGGTGTGAAGTGCTGAAGGTTAATGCAGAGTCAAGTTTATTTTTTTGTGTGTGGTTACAGCATAGTCTTTAATTACATACACATTACATTTCTGTGTGCTATAAGCTGCCGTGTTCAATTAAGAGTATAGTTTACAAGTTAATCCATGGAATTTCAGGAATTGTAAGGCATTTTTGCTTGCATTTGAGGCAGTAGTTGTTGGTCCCAGAAGAATCTGTATATATGTAACTGTTTGACAGAGAAGACCACACTGTATGTTTGTGTTCTTTGCAAGGACAACTTTAATTCTAGTGTTTTCTCACCTTGCCCATTAGTATTTTAATGCTTTGTCTGTGTTGTAAGGTATGTGCTGATTTTACGATATTGTTTAATATCCTGTGATAGCTTCAGTGTACTTTTGCTTCTGTCGTAGTAAAAAACAACTGCGTTTTTTTGAGCAGTTGCTCTTCATCCTCCTGGTTTCACCAGCATCCTCTTTGTTGGGGCAGGCTGATGAGAGGAGCTGGTACATCTTAATTTAGAATTAAAAATTCATGAATTTCATAATTCGTTACAGGTTCTTGTGACTCTAAGTTCTGTTCCGCTAACCAGTTGAAAGTTTCACAAGGCATCATACGTCTGCATGACCAAGTCAGAATCATGAGAACTGCTTTTGGAAATATCAGTTGGCCTTTCCTCCTGTCAGTAATAATGCATGTGTTAATTATCTTCACATTCACTGAAGTGAAATCTGTCTCCAATATTTGCTTTAATGTTGAGGACCTCAGACTGGGGGGCAATGCTTTCTGCTTAAAAAACCCACGAAGGATAGGACAGGAAGACAGGACTTCTTGAGTGTTTTGTTGGCTCTGTAAGAGTAGTCTTGGCTGTGATTTCTTGGTTAAGTCAACAAAGTTAAAATTTTCAGAATGAAATCTTTACAGTTAATTGAAAACAAATCCATGTGGAACCATTTAAATGAGAAGCCTCAATTGGAAGGTTTTCAACCATCATACAGACAATTTGGATGACCAGTTTGAATTTAGTTGATTGTGAAGTACTTTTAATTCCTTCCGTAAAAGAAGTTAGAGAAGATCCAGATATTTTGATAGCAATACTAACCACATACCATTTACTTAAAAAACTTATCCCTGAATGATTTTGACTATTACAACAATATTTGATCCAGTTTATTTGTTGTTGTTTTGTGTTACCACTATTTTAATTTTATGTAATATCAAGTAATTTCTTACTATGAGACTAGAAGAATCACTAGAGAGACTTAGTCATTAATCTGTGGACCAAGCAATTCTTTTAAATTCGGCAGTGAAAGGGGTTAGATTTGATGTTGGTTGCTTTGTACTCTGAAGTAGGAGGTATACTGGATTATGTGATTTTTGTTGAATGCGTTGGAGTTTTGAATGTTGGATTGCTCAGCTTGATCACATTTAGTTGTGAGTTTTTATAAGGGTAATAAGATGTTTTGTGAACACTTCTGTATTCTTAAGAGATTGCCTGCACATCATGATGTTCCAGTTAAGCCCAAGAGGAATCTGAAGTTCCTCTGAAAACAGCTGATCCCTGGCTGTTTTAAGAGTGGGTTATGACTGTAGCAACAGTACAAAACAGTTGAGATGTAACTTGTCAGGGGATGACAGAGGTCCTGATCTCTGGCACTAGGTTGTGGTTTTGCATTTAGAAGTGGGAGCTTGGGAGGAGGTTCCTCCTGGTTGCTGCTTATTAACAGTGACCACCACCCTTCTCATGGGGCTATTCCTGATGCCAGAGATTTTCTGGGAATTAAAAATGATCAGACTCTCTTACTGTATCCCAAGTTGGTCAGTAAAAGGCTGTTGTGGGAGGCTGAGTAAGGTAATTCTCCATTACTGTTCCTTGCTCTAAAGAGCTTATGTTGTTAAGACCACCCTCTTCAAAGCAAAACAAAAAGGTATTTGTTGAAGCACTAAAACATATTAAAAACCTCACTCAGTTAGTAGTTTTGTTTGGCATAAACTTTGGTGTGGAAGAGGTCTCTGCCATCCTGTTCTGTGTCCAGCAGATTAAGAGTCCGTGGTCCAGGTGGTTCACAGTGCAGAATCCTGCCGCATCCTTCCCTTTGAAGCGGGTGTGCATTGCTGTCATGGTGCGTGTACCACCGTGAGCTTCAATGGTATCATCAGATTGCAGGAGTGTGACGTGCAGAAATGGACAGTAGTTGTTGTCTCTCCCCCGTCAGTTCAGATTGCATTTCTCAGCAGCACAAATTATGGCTAAAGCTCAAACCCCCACGTTACTGCATGCTGTTGGAAGTATATATACAGGAATGTAAACTCATTTAAAGATATCAGGAAACTTCTAAGGGGGGAGGAGAGGGAATTGTTAAAGGTACAGGTTATGTGGATGGTCAAAGCCTCTGAAATGAGGAAGTGCTACTTTTATGGCTAGTTGTGCAACTTCAGTTTATCCGTTTGCCCTTTTGTGTAGAACTGGCTGTTTAGTTTAATAAATCACATTCTCATCTTTTTCCCTTGCAGATCCTCGCTTCATTCAGTGCGTGATGAGTGGCAGGCGCTAAAAGACCTAAGTCAGTTATGTGGAAAGCTGAAACTTCTTCCTCTCCCTTGCGCGACCCAGTTTTTGTATGTTTGGTTTGCAATTTAGCTAGTGGACTTTTTGCCCTCTTAGTTTTTGTTAGAGGCAGAAAGGCCCACATTGGATTGAATGCCCGTGGGCATGTGGTGTTTGGCATTTCAGACTAAAGCTTTGTGGAGATGACATTTCTTACTATATCAAATGTGATACTTAGCGAGTGTTGCAGATTTGTGCCATGTTGTTCATATGTTTGGGCTGTGTGAGCGTAAGTTTGAGGCCTCTGTAGTAAGTGTGGAGGAAGATGGTCTTTCCCAGACATTCAGTAAATTCTGTGGTCCCAAGGAACAACCTTTATCAGTCATGGAAATGGCATTTCACCCTGAGTCATGGTTGTTGTCTAGATTGGGATTCTCAATGGTGCCAGAAAAATAATGATTTGGAAGAGACAAGTGGAAAGTAATCCGTAATCCATTTCAAAGGATACTGAGTTTTGAGGCTGAGCAGTGCTGTGGATTATTATGTTAAGTGTTAGCTTTCATCTTTGCTGGCAAGAATTGAAACGTTCGAAATTGAAACATAAAATAGTTATAAAGTTTATATATAAATATATCTTGAACATTTGTGTTGCATTTAAGGGGCTGAATTTTGTGCTTTCAAGATATGTATGGTTGTAAAATTGCCCAATTTTTGATGTGAGAGTTTATGGAATGAAATCCGTTTCCGTTGCAGTTAATGCATGTGTTACATTTGAGAGTGAGTTCTAAGTTCTGTTTGTGAAAATTTTTTGTTTGGGGTTTTTTGTGGGTTTTTTTTGTTTGGTTTAGGGGGATTGGTTGAGGATAACATGTAACTCTCAGTGATTTCAGTAAGGGTGCAGGTATCATTGCTCATGTGGCCTCATTTAGGCTCTTAATTAGTGTTTTTAATAAATTTTAAAAAAATTGTGTGTGGCAAAGGAATAATATAAAAATGTTTGTTTTGCTTCCTCCTAACCTCTCTCCTCACTTTTTTGCCGCTGCTTTGATTAATGATAAATCAGCAGTTTTAAAGAACAGTATATGTTAGGAAATGTGTGTCTGTTTCCAGGCACAAGTTGTTGCTTTTTGCTGCTGGTTTTAATGAAAACTTATTAAAGCAGAATCAACTTCCTTTTAATGTTGTGAGCTTGTGAAATGCATACAGTAATACTTTACAGAGTAGTTCGTTCTTTTTTAAAAGGCCTCAAACATGCACACGCTTTACAGGAGACTGAATCTGCTCTCCAGACATGAGTCATGTTTGGGAGTTTCACTGAAGTTGATAGAACTGGTTCCTATTTGTTACCTGTTGGTATCACACTGGTTTTGCAAGTTTTATGTTTAGAATAAATGCTTTTAGTAGAATTACTCCAGGTACATGAGGTATTTTGCTGATTTGGATTTATGCTAGAAGAAGGGAAGACTGAAATTAAGAATGTCTAAGGATGACTAGTATTGCATGAGTGTTCATTCCTGTGTGCTGCCTGTTTCTATGTGTTGCTCAAAGCTTTTTACAGTGCTGCTATTACGATTTTTCTGTTTTATGCATGCATTCCCATGGTGGTTACATGCCTTTAGGGGACTTCTATCTGTAAAATAATCATATAAATCAAAGATTACTTGTTTCTCAGAAGTAAATGTACAATAACATTTTGCACACTTCTGTAGAAGATAAGTTTTAGCTGACCACTGGAGCCCGGTAAAATGACAGAGGAAAATATTTGCTCTGTGCCTTGACTCTCCTTTTTTTTTTTCTGTTGCAGGTATCAAATAAAATATGCTGTTGTCAATAGGAATGCTGATGTTGTCTGCCACTCAGATATACACTATTTTGACTGTTCAGTTATTTGCTTTCCTGAATCTCTTACCTGTGGAGGCAGATATTTTAGCAGTAAGTATATTTTTTTACATAGATGAAATCTCTCTAAAATTGAATCTTCTTTTAAATGATTCTATAAACGAATCAGTTGGTACAGTAAATGTTATAGCAGATTGCTTGAAATGGAATTGCCTTAACAGTTAAGTACAGTTTAAAAAAAAAAAATTCTACATCTTATACGCTTACAGATGATATGTGCCCGTGTACCTTGACAGTGAAAGCACTTAATTCCCTTAGTAATTAAAAAAGTTCCAATCTGACCAAATATCCTATAGCACGTTATAACCCTTTAAGCTCTGGTGGTGGATGTCATTTTGTAGGGTAACTATAAAAATAAATAAAGCAAAATAGTCTTCTGTAGCTAGTTCATGTATGTGCTGGTGGCCTTGTCAGTAAAGTTTTTGTGTATGTTACACCTAGATACGTTTTTTTAGATAATAACTGATAATCTCTGCCGTTGTTAAGAATAATATTTTTGGGTGTGTAGAATTTTAAATGATCAGGTTAATAAACATAGAGTCAACGATGAAAGTTGTTACTGGGCTATTTATTACCAGTTTTACATAGCATGTAGTCTTATGGAAGAAGTTACGTGTGTCTTTGTAGGATAGAGCCTAAGCCACTGAAATAATTACACTTAAGTACTGTAGCCTCTGTATTCTCTGCTACTTACAGTGGTATCCCAGAGAGCCATTAGTATCATATCAGTTGATTTAGAGCAGAGTGATTTCAGCCCCTTCCTCTCTCACCAAGACCATGCTGCTTCTTTTCTTAAAAACCTAATTTTCATTCTTGCTGCTTCCTCCCTTAGAAGAGATATTAAAAAAAACCCAAACAAACAGCAAACCTCCCCACCAATCCTGAAAAAAAGAAAAGAAATTAAAACTGAACTTCCAAAATGCCTGTTTAAGCTTCTATGTGCAGTATTCTAAAATAATTCCATCTAAAGATGAAGTATCTTTTATTCTTGGCTATTTGAGAGTTACAGATCTATTCAAAGAATATCTTTGAAGTAGACAAAGAAGAGAGGAACTAGAAGCTGTGCAAAGGAGCCAGTGGAATTGGCTTAACAAACACAGGCGAAGGGGGAGTGTTTGCACACTGTGTCACGTTGAATTGAAGGCACACATAACTTCTGATCTTGAAAGATTTCATGGTTTAATGATTGCCTGTTTGGGGAGCAAAATTCCAGCTGGAGTTCTGGAATCATCGAGAAAATAAATTCTTCTTTTCTCTACTGATTTAGGTGTATTTTTCTGTTTCTGTGTTCTCACGTACTTGCAGCCTCATATGCAGGATTGTGTTTGTATAAAGTACTGCTATGTATAAGAAGCATGATTGGTTATTTTTAAAGTAAGGGATAACAATAAATAGGTTTGTGTCCGACTCCTTGCTTAAGCTGGAACTCGCTGGGTGACTCAAGGGAAAGCTTATGGCAACACAGCGCAGGAAGAGC